GAAAATGTTTATAATAATATATAATATATCTTAGACAGATAAACCGTCTCCACTCAGAATCGTTTTTAATATACAATGATATAATATCATTGGATTCAAATTTAATTCCATCCATTACAGTAACCCACTTGTAACCTACTGTACATCAGAGCGACATCCATGACTTACCCGCTTTTTTTTTACATTTATTAATTTATTACCTAAGATCGTTATAGGTTTTACTAACTAATAACACTTTTATCTGTTTTAGGGAGAACAGTATCTTCCRCGGTGTCAACCGCCATTGCCTTTGGCTAGCTTTTTAGACGAGATATCTCTGAAGAAGTACGTCAGAGAGTTAGCCAAACACTTGGACGTTTTGTCACATTTCGAAAACTTCGAATGATCCCCATKACCCACTATTATTATTATTATATTGCTCGGCGGTCAACTTCTTCCAGTATAAAAATAATAATTATTATGATTACTGTTGTTATTTGATTATATTACATATTATAGTATGTAGTTTACCATATTATATAATATTATGTTTCTATAAATATTGTACAAAGTCGTGAAATTCGTGTGTATGACCTATAATACCTGCATATTGTGTGAAAATTGTTCGGATATATGATGTAAGTCAACAATATTTAAATCTGTTTTAAATCTTGATTTCGACCAAACGTACGTAAAATGTGGCGATTCAATATTCGTCTAGTTTATAGATGTTTATCCCACATATATTAATTGTTTCGTTTCCAATAACTGGAGTTCGATATTTGTTCTACATGACTATAATATATTATATACGTTCAGTTAAATAGTAGTATTTAGATTAAATATAATATATATATATATGTTCATATATATAATGGGTGATTCGCCAAAGATACCCCCTCGACATTTTTCTTTAGTTTTTAAGTTATTTGAAGTCTGAATTTCGGAATTTTTGAATATACTTTAAAATATAATTAATACTATTAAAATATACATAATTTTGAGTACTTAATATTTTTTTGTACTATTTAAGAGTTGTYATATGGTGAAACAAATTCTGTTTTTAAAATGAGTACCATAGTTTTCTAAAGGTGTACCTTTATTTACTATAAATTATTTAACAGATCATTTTTTGAGAATTTTGATGTGTCGAAATCAAAATTTGCTCGAGTTATTAAACAAGGTATTTAGGTACGTGATAGGTTCGTGATAATAAGTTTAAAAAGTATAGGGACTATGATGATTTTAAAATTATAGTGATTAATATTAATCTTCCAACATTTTTAAATTTTTAAAGGTTTAGTATAATACACACTAGTTTCAATATGATATCTATTTTGTATTTTTGTAAAACCATTTGTAAAGACTATTTTGTCTTTAAACTATCAATTTAAATAACTCCAAAACCATTCGTTTGAATTTTAATTTAGATGCCAACATCAAAATGATCGAAAAAAAAATGTTCTATTTAATAGTTTGATTTGAGAAAGTGGGTCTTTATTTGAAGAAAACAGAAGTTACAATGGATAACACACTTCTTAGTAAGTAGTGAAAATATGTGCATCAGGTATTATTAAAAATAAAGAGTGAGTGGGTTTGATTGGTGAATCACACTGTATATTATATTATGTTACATAAATAATAAATAATAAATAATAATTATTGTCTTTGTTTAGGCCCTAATGGCTTTTTTATTTGTTCATTTAATTTGTTAAAAACTATTTAACTCCATCGTAATATATTTGAAACTTAATAATGTGTTATGGTTTAATCAAAATACGTCGATCGAAAGTACAATAAACGTATATAATCGCTAAGGAGGCCTGTAATGTTTAATGTTTATATACATGAATAAAAGTACCAAACTACAATGTTATATTATTATATAAGTTATGAGTACCAATTAAATTTGAAAAAACCTGTAACACTTTTCTTTGTTTTTAATTCTAATTTCTAATAATAAATAGTTTAATGTTTTTCTAAATTAATWAATCAATTTCCAAATCTTCCATTTTATACTACGAAAAATCTCTTAAAATTGCATTATATACAAATTGTTAGCAAAATAAAGTACAGTATTTTTTATAAAATTCATTAATCTATTTATATTATAAAACTACTTGGTTTAAAAAAAAAAAAAAACATTGCTGCTTAATAAAAACCAAGTACCCTGAATATTAGTTTTACTATATACATAAGTGTTTTATTATCATTATTATTATAAATTATTATTGTTTCTGGATATACTGTTTCTTGTAATCCCTGTATTTATCATTTTATTGTATTTCATGATGGGAGACGAGTATGATTTACGCATACCGTACCTGTATAGTGTAAGTACCTACGTCCTACATGCACGAGTTATATGAGTATGTATACTACTGACATCTCTACATAAAAAAATATATAATTTTTTTTCTTTATTAACAATATATAATATACAAAATCTGTACAAGATTGGCACAATCAGAGTATGAGGAAAATTGAAAATTTTGAATGAAGAAGCCAACCAACGATGACACTTTATTGATAATATATACTTATAATTTAGTGTTTTAAACGCTACATGCAATTTAAAAAGCTTGATAAAWCAGCCGAAACTATTTACTTTTCAGAAATGTCCGTTATGTTTATAAAAAGTCAATATAGTGTTTTAGAACTTTGTTGGCGTAATAACTATGCTCGTGTTATTATTTTGAGGCGGGGCAGGGATAGACATCGATAAAGAAAACACTTCGATTTTCGTTTTCGATCATTACATAACGACTATGGGCAGAAAAAAAGTGAAAGATATGGGCCACTTCGCGATATGACAAATCCAAAGGGTCGAGTTTATTTATAATTGACGAAATTGGACGCGGCCCAAACATGTCCGAGCGCCGGGACCACGTCGTAAACGAGCTGCATGCACTCACACAAACGGTTTTCCGCCTCCGGTGCGCGAGAACCGACTCGTATGCGCGTCAATTTAATCGTCAAAGCCAAACTACAAGGTCTGTAAAAATAAAAAAATAAAACAATAAAATAAAAACCTAGATCGTTTGAAACGGATAAAACAAAAAAAGCTGAGCGAATGATACTCGTTCCTGGACCCGCCAACGCGTAAGTCTCGTCGCGTTGCGTGTGACGATGGAAGAACCAGGTGTGTACCTATTATAATACTACCTAACTACTTATATATAWCAATATTATAATATGCACAACTACAGTGTATCCCAAATACCCCAAAGCGTTTTCGTGAATCCCTCATCCCTGGTAAATCAATGGCCTAGGCTTTACCTATAATATTTTTTGTTCAACAGTATAATAGAGTATAAGCTATATATAAAAAATGTATGCAAATCAGTTGTAATTTTCAATTGAAAAAACAGCATTTAAATTATACTATACTAATGTGCCACGGTCTCACAGAGATACTAAAGGTAATTGAGGAGGAAAATTTCTGGACTCATTGTATATATGCGCACATATCTGTATTTATTTGATTTAATTTCGTGAATACTGCAGGGTCCCACTGAAAAAAAAACTGGTGTGAGAGCATAATATATAGAAGTTCTAATTAAATTCAAATTATATAAATATACAAAACATGATTAAATATTAAATTACCTTACATTAACATTTATTACTATATTATTAACTCGTCTGAAAACTTTTTTAACCATTGCTAAATATATAAGTATATATTTTTAATTAATTAATTGGAAGATTTAGAATATAATTTCATTGCAAATCTACTAGAATTTGATTCCGATTATTTCTAATTATCTACCAAAAGTTGTTTTTTTCAAGAGATTGAGCCCCCCCCCCAAACCAGAGAAAGCGAAAGAAAACGGCTCGGTTGTCTCGGACGGAAAATGTTTATGGGCGTTACATTTTTAACGTGTCTTTTTCAATAGTTCTTTCTTTATTAAAATACTTTATAAAATTATTTTAAAAAACAAGATTCATGAAACTTAAAAAAAACTTYTTGTTATAAATTTAGATGATGTAATATCATCTATATTTTAGTTTTTAAATCCAATGCCTATATATGTAAATACACTTTTAACCGTTTGATTATTATTACTTCATGTTTTGGAATTATATAACAGTAATATAGGATGGCACCATATGATGAAATGTATAATGTACCTACCTATATTATAATACAATTCGCGGTTAAATGTATTGACATACTCTACGCCGTATTGCTTTGAATTTTGATGATCCACGACTCTTCACAAACAGCGTTTGCTTACGTTATGTTTATGTGTTAGATTCGCGTAAATCAGTGTCTTGCGGCAGGGAAGGGCCGTACTATTCGACGCTGAACCGACCCGGCAGGTCTCCGTCGACCAGGTCCACCCCGTGCAGGTCTACCTCGCGCAGATCTACCCCGGGCCGGTCCGCATCGGGCAGATCTACTTCGGTGTGCAGCAGATCTACCACGGACAGGTCGACGACCCCCGAAGCGCCGCCGGTGCCGCCGGCCACCTATCACTGGGAGGAAGTGAGAAGAAAACGGTCGGTGGGCGGATATCCGTGGACGCATCTCAACAAACCGCCGTTCGATGAAAACACCTGGGTGAAGTATGAAAGGCAAGTACACCGTCTGCAGGCGTCAATCACGCCGTCGACGACCCGTTAAAGTACGTTTCCACTGTTTGCCGCTATTAYCTTATGGTTTTAATGGAAAACAAATAAAATAAAATCCATAAACCATGCAACTATACCGCTGCAGCTGTATAATTTATGTGTCGCACGCCATACGTGATGTCAAAATGTTTGCCAAAGCGTTCGTTGCAGCTATCGCCTGCGATGCTGTCGTAGGCGTTTCKTGAGAAAAACAATGCCAAATCGAAAATAAAATTCGATTTCCGATGAAATTGAAAGAAACCATATATAATTACATTTAACATTGCACGTTAGTATGTATGTCATAAATAACTACACACAGTCTATGCGGTGTGTAAGCCGCCGACAACTCGCCAAAAGTATTTGGTGCTGGTCACAGGTCGAGTATAATATTAATGTGATGTGTATAAAAAAAAATGTCTTATCAATTGTTTGGTCATAATAATAATGACACGTCACAATAAGATTCGCGCTAAAGTGTTTATGACGAGATTTTATAGAAAAACATGATATTACCCATCACGATAATATTTATAATAATTACACAATTATAATTTCCATAAAAATTTCACTCGATCTCCTAATGCATTCGTATTTRCGCTTTAATACCTATAAATAAATATATAGATTTTAGATTGGTTTTACAATGATGTAACCTAACCTTTACAATGATGTTTATTTCTTTTTTATTCTATTTTTTTCCCTCTAAACTTTCTCAAAAGTATCAAGTGTAGCATCTTTTCTGAATGGTAATGTTCTTGAGCTATAGTACTTTAAAAAGGTCATTTTTTGATTTTCGAAACGGTACTCGAAATAAAAGTGGTTAAAAGAGAAAATATGAACGATTTCATGATTTTATAATATTAAATAATTACGGACGTTTTTTTTTTTTTAAATTATAATAATATAATTAATACAGTATAACATAATATCCTAGACTGATAAACCGTCTCCACTCAGAATCGTTTTTTGTATACAATGATATTACATCATCGAATTCAAATTTAATACCATCCATTACGGTAACCCACTTGTAACCTACTGTACTGCAGAGCGGCATCCACTTATACTTACCCGCTTTTTATTCACTTATAAACTTGATATTGYTTACTATTATATGATAAAGCAAATTTATATTATATTTTTTATACCTACCTATTTAAAATTATTAAACACTATATTATATTCAAGATGYTATATAGATTATTATTCGAGTTTCCTGTCTTATTATAATGCACAATAATATACTACCTACTCTTATTATGTCACATATATAATATAGTGTTGTTTGTAGCTGACGTCTTCGCCGGATGTTTGTGACAATAATGTGTGATCTAATAACGATATTGTACAAGTATATACTATGAACTAAAGACAGTTTTATTTTTTCAAACGTTTTAATCGAATAAACTCGTCGATTTCATTTACAACATATTAAAATATGTAAGTTTAACGTAGGTATAAACTATTTCGATGAAGAAGATTTCGATTACGATATTTTAAACAATATAAGACCKAGTGCATTGACACTCACGCGGCTATTATGTATTATAAGATACTTACAGCAAATTACCGCGGTACATGTGTTACATTTGGCTATGTAAAATGACAAAAATCTCAACTATATTGGCCCAGAGATGATATTAGTTGGAGCTTGATGGTCAAAAAAAAAACGAACACTCTTTCGTCTGAATATTCGGGTTATGCCGGACGGCCAAAACATATTTGGCAACCGTTGTAGCAATTTCGATTTTTCTCTCCGTATAATCGAGCGCGATTGTGTAGCGCATGGCAGCGATGTTGAAACCGGGGAATGTAGCAGTCTTACGACGATTCAGTGTAGTCCGGAAGTCATTTGCGGTTGCTGGTATTCCGACACCATTGAACAACAACAGCTAAAATTTGCTCCAGAGATGACAGCCACACTGTTAAATTCGTAATTAATTTGAGAATTTTAACTGTATGATTTAATAAAARACGCGTCCAGGCATGGGGTGAGTACACAACGCCAATAAATTGGTCTGCGATAGGTATCTAAGCAACAAAAATAGAAAAATATTTAAAGGCCATATTATGTATAATATACAATTATATGAAATKACTAAATTAATTAATATTTGGTCAAAAATGTTGTAGCTATTATATTTAAGTGTGTTAGTATAATTAATATTCGTAAATTTACAGCTATAAATCTAGCGTTTTTAGTACACATTTTTTTTTATAGCTATTCTGTATTCGTACGACATTCGTAGCGAACACATTATACACTTTGCGTATACTTCAATATCAATAAAACAATGCATTTAAATTATAATATGTATAGGTAGGTATATAATTTATGTTTTTACGTTGAACGTAATGTTATGTCGCATTGGTACGTTAATTTTAATTATTTTATCATCCATTAAATGAATAAATTAACAAACAAAAAATGTATGCTGTATAGTATATATTATATAGGTACACGACGGATCCTAACCACTCTACGTTTCTACGTCTACTTTTAGCTCCGGACCAACAGACACCTAAAAATAAGTTTTCGCTCTCTCACGAGAAGATTCTTGGCATGTTGAATCCTCTGTCTCTGTTATTGTCGCCAAATAATAAATAAATTTAACCCTCCTGTCGTTACGCCGGTTTTTCTCGGGCGTCCGTCCGTACGAGAATTAGCCATTATTTTCCGACTAAAATATTATATGTTTGTCGCGATCAATTTTTGATAAACGYTAATTTTTACAGGGATCACGTATACGAACCTGTCACGCCAGCAGCGAGCACTGACCGGATATCTCCGCCCGCTGTTAATCCAATAAAAGATGATAACCGTCATTTTCTACGTATACCATTGACAGAAGAACTCGTAATGGCCGACGACACGGGTTCGGAACCTGAAAATGAACAACAACATCWAGAACGAMGACTTAACAGAAAAGAAGAAGACAACGAAGACGATGAAGAAGACGACGACGAAGAGGATAATGACGATGACGACGGAAATGTCGACAAAAAAAACATAAGATCCGACGAATCGATTTATGAGGGTGAAAACGAAAACTCGTCTTTGGGTGATGTAGAATCCGGTAATACGCGTATGAAGGTGTTCCAACAAAAAGTCAAAGTCAAAGCAGACATACTACGCACCAAGTTGCAGGGGGTGACTAAAAGAAAGCCCAAGCAAAAAATAGTCGTTGACACGCCAAACGGCGAAAAGTCTCGCCGCAAGTTTGGCCAGTTCGCCACTCTGCCGAAAAAGTTCACATTCAATGCACCCAAAGTGAACTTCTCCACGGCCTTTGGGCACTTCTCCCGAAGATCCGTGGACCCAAATGAATCTAGTACTGATGAAACGAAGAGTATTCGGGACGAGACGAAGAATGGTCGGGAAGAGACGAAGATTGGTCGATTTTCGCTGCCACGTTTTGGATTATCCAGGACGTCGTCAGAATCTCCGAAACCGTCAAAATCCGCAAAAATCGGTGGCTCCCGGCTGTCTATACCGGGTTTCCGGGCGCGCACTTGGTCGGATGCGTCAAAAGTGTCAAAGCCGGAAAGTCCTAAACCTCGGATAATGGATTTCGGCACGTACCCGAGAATTTTTTCCAAACGTAGGAAAACCAACGCGGCGAACAAAGCAAAAACGCCGCCACCGTCGTCCGACGGAGGAGAACCAGAATCGAACAACTACAAGCGGAAGGACTCTTTCCATCGGCGTTTCTTTCGGTCACATAAAGAGTCAACACCGGCTCCGACGGAAGAACAGACTGCCACGCTGGCTGTGGAAGAAGAGCTGGACGAGCCACCACTGCAGGTATCCAAAGAATCACTGGCCGAATTCGGGGACAGCGATCTACAGGAAGTGATATCGCTAAGCGACGACTGYAGCAGATCAAAGGACACGAAGAGCTTGTACGAGCACCGATCGGGCGTGATCGAGGAGATTGATTCTGACGAATTTTTCCTGCGCGAAAAAGGTCTGAGTCGTGGTAATGTGCACATCAGCAATTATCTGTCGTCGGAGATCAGAGACGTGTTCCGGTCGAACCGGACACGGTCCGTGGAAGGCGTTAATGACAATGGCAACRGMGGAATCACCAGAAACAACCGCGACTCCAGTAGCGGTATCGCCACGCCCGTTAGACCGTCGCGGACYAATTCGTTGAGAAGACCTAACCGGCAAACTGCAACTGAAGCGAACACCGAGCGATCCTATGTCGCTGATCGGTTCAGCACGATGCCGAAATCGTTTGGCGGCACCAAGTCGTTAAAGAAACCGGAAGACGACATGCCCGAGAACATCATCACCAGTCAGACGTTTGAACCGTCGCAAAATCCAGTGCTCCCTTCCGGAGTGCCCTGGAGGACTTCCAGTAGGCAGACTGTCGCCGCCACCGTCACACACATGCCGCCTAAACCACCGACCAGACAACGTATGTCCAAGTTTTCCTCGTTTGACACGCGGTCGATGATTGATTTGTCCAGAAAGAGAAGCCAGTCACAAATCGTAAGTTATTCATTATGTGTATATATCGGTATATCACATACCACAAATAGATMACTTTTAAATTTGTATACACTGGACGCGCCCACGTTTTCTCGGTATAACACAACAGACTACACTATTTTCCGATTATATTTTATTTTAAGAGCTGTTATCTTAAACAAATGAGCTTTACTGATATTTTACAGAATAAACACTGTTTACATTAATCGTGGGTTGTGGTAAAATAGAGAAATTCAAAATACTATAACAACTAATTGATTTCCTATAGAAAAAACCAAACAAATAAATAGATATCAAACGAATGTCTCGTAAATCACCAAAATGCTGCCATCAATTCTTATTTATTATGGTAAATGATATGTATATAGGATATTACCATACACATAACCGTATGTATATATAACCATATTTAGGTGTACGCCGTAAGTGTATCTATTATTAATTTAATTTGTTAACTTTATACGCGTTATCGCGAATTAGCGAGAGTATATATTATTTATAATAAGCAAAAACTCTATTGGAACATACGTTGGCCGTTAAATAGTATTATCTATAGTTATGTAATATTTTGTTTGATACGAAAAAGTGAAAAGCAAATAGTTGTTTTATTTTCTCGTTGAAATATTTATAATTTTAGATTCGGAGCAAGAAATAGTTACATTAGTTTTTCAATGTGTTTTGTTTTACCGGTATCGCGTTTTATATCAGGAGGCTTGTTCAGTTGTTCCAACTATTTGCATCGAGGGTGATGGTTACTGG